TCTAGGCCTTAGAACAGAATGTGTGGAGCAGCATGGTTCTAAAATTCTACATCTCCTGTTCCTTTATTTCTGTCCTCCCTCTGAGCTTCACATTCATGGTCACTGCAGACTTGTGATAAGGATCTTGGTGCTTTACTGGGTGGTGATGGTTGGGGGGAAGAAGAAAGGAAAGAAGGAAGAAAGGAGGGAGGGGATAAAGGAACGATGGACAAAGAAAGCAGGGGTAAGAAGAGGTGGAGGAAGCGAAGGAAGAGAGAATAAGAGGGTTGGGGAGGGAAAAGAGCGGAGAGGATAAATAAAGGGTGTAGTCTTCTTTGCCCATCTACTTGTTCTTGAACTCTAACGGCGCTCACTATGGCAGCTTGGAAGCTGCACTGGTCCCAACCTCCTCTAGACCAATAGAGTGTTGAAGGTCTGTCCCAGACTTGCTCCCTCAGTTGCTATTTTCCTTAGGCAAGGGTGGAAGTGAGCAGTCTCTTGGCTCTTGCTCCATAGAGCTAGCTCTTGTGCGGCCATTCTGAGGCTTGCTTGTCAATAGCAGTGGTTTATGGTGAGGCCTAGGTTCTGGCCTGACTCGGTGATATATCTTCAGCTGCTCATGGGGAGAAAGGAGGATAGCGGACTTGAGGAGCAGCTTTTAGGCATGTACGCTGCCCTGGCTGTTCTTTCTTTCCATGACATGGAAGAATCCCAACTTTTATTTAAAATCAGAGGACAAGCAAAGGAGGGGCTTTTATTGCCTGGCAAATTTCCAAGTGTCCAAATGGTGAGAGAGCCTTGTATGTGTTTGGAGCCTTTCTATGACAGAGTTCCCAAGTAGGATTTGATGTCACATGGTCAGGATGACTTGCTTCTCAGCTAACACCCTTCCTTCAAGGAAGCCAGAACACTTAATATATTTTAAGCCTTTCATCTTCACAAATATCCCTGGAAAACCGAAGTCCGATGAAGTAAGAGCCTTGATTAATTATGTAACATGCTGACTAGTGTGGGGTTATTCACTCTACCTCAACATAAATTATTTAAAGACAGGAGATCTATACTCAGTAGGTAGACTGCTTTTGCCTGGCACTCATGAGACCTTGGGCTCTATCCCCAGTACCACATAAACCATGGTGGTGAAGTCCTAATGTCCTAGCACTTTAGCATGGAAAATCAGAAGCTTATGGCTGTCCTTGACTACATAGTAGCCCAGAGCTATCTTGCACTACAGGAGACACTGTCTCAAAACAACAACAACAAAAACAAAAACGAAAAAACCAAAATAAAACTCTCAAACTCCAAGTAACTATGTAATAAGTAGAATCTTAAAACTTATGAAAACCTATTTGAATATTCAAGCTGATAATAGCCTATAAAAGGCCCCATCACTCATCTGCTCATTTCCACTGTGCTTGTTTTCAGTGGCATTTCCGTGCCATTTCTACACTATCTCTCCGAAAAGGAAAGCTCGAGAAATTGGTCACAGGCACCCTTCAGAACACCGGGAACCCAGTGCAGGCTGAGTCAGTTTTGAGACACTCATTACCATGAAGTGAATATGTCTTGCCAAGAGGCTCTGACTATTGATAGGAAACGGAACTAACAGCAGCCTAGGTGTATGACCTGTGTTTGACCTTGCCCTCCCCCACCACACTTCTTGGGGAAGGTTTCAGAATTGGGTATCTTAGGCATGTTTCCTTTTTCTTTCCTTGACACAAGTCTCTGTGGATTAGAGCCTTTAAGAAGGATGCCCCAAGCCGGGCGGTATTGGCTTCACATATTTGGTATGCAGAGGCAGGGGGATCTCTGTGATTTCCAGGCCAGCCTGGTCTACAGAGAGAGTGTTCCAGGACAGCCAGGGTTCCAAGGAGAAAAACCAAACCAACCAAAGAAACAAACAAAAACAAACAAACAAACACAAAAAAACCCAAAACCAAAAAAATAAATAAATAGAAAAAAAATGAACCCCCCAATGATAGAATGATAGATAGATAGATAGATAGATAGATAGATAGATAGATAGATAGAATGCTGACAAACCTGCCAGAGCTGTTCTTCAGTGCTGGCAGCCTGGGATAAGGGCCGGATGTTCTTCCTAGGCAGTCTTCGGGTGCTAACAAATGTTTGGTCTGCATTTATCGATCTGTTCAGGTGCCTGGATTATCAGGACTTGAGCACAGACTTGGCGAAGACAAGGTATTTACCCTACCAGTTCCAACAGTGAGAGAAAAGATAACCAAAGCTACCTCGCTTCAAGGAGCAGGGTATCTGCTTATGGAGACAGGACCCACAATCCCCCTGTTCCATGCTTGGACTGTCAATGTTGTGATGTCTCCGAGGCAACAGCCCACCCCTTACTCTTTTTTCCCAGCCTGGGTGTTTCAGATGAAAAGACGAAGAGGCAGACGTCTGCTGTGATGACGGTGATGTTTTATTTTAAGATAAAGTATGGAAGCTGCTGATTGATGGATTATAAACTGGGAGGTCCAGAATAAAGCTTCATTCTGGGGGCATCAGTATATTTCATGGGGAGCCTCCTGGGCATTAATTTTGCCGTTAATTTTGTTATTAGAGACCTAGCCAAACAAAGGGAGGTGGTGAAGCTCGGGGCTGATTTAACCTTGATGAAACAGTGATTTCACCAAGGATGATGTTCTCCATCTATCTTCATCCATCAAGGCAATGCTGAAATATGCTAATGAATCCCGAAGATAGGAACACAGAGCAGTGAAATGGGGCGTTGCAGATGCTCTCTGTACCCCCACGACAGAGTGATGCCACTTACTGTCCAGATTTAGCGGGAGACCCAGAGCCACGCTGACATGTTCTTACGGAGAGGAAGGAGGATGGGATGAGCTTTTCCTCACCGACAGGAAGGGCACAGTGTATAGACTGGGTTGGAAAGGCTGGCTTTTGGTGAATGGGCTTGTTTCTTTAATTCCCTGACTTGTTTTCTAGCCAGCCCTTTGAAGAGTCAAGTACATGGTGTATTGCACATGGGCAGATAGTTGTATTTGTAAATTCCAGCATGTGACCTAGCTCGTGGCCAATCAAGTTATGTGTGTTACCATGTCAGCTTGCATTTCTCAGTTTGTTTCCAGAGCAAAAATGAGCTAATACTAGTTTGCATTTTTTTTTAAGTTACAGCCTCTTAGGTACTTATTATATGCCAAGCAGAGGTACCAAATTATTTTGTGTATTTTAAAATGCCGTATCCATTGAGGGAGTGGCCTCATAGCATGTACCTTACAGGTTAGGCTTGAGAACTTTTCCTATGTAAAGTTGCATAACTGGTAAGTGGCATGATTAGGGTGTAAACCTATGTCCTTCAGACCCCTAAGCCTTAACACAGAACAGTACTAGCTCAAGGACAGTTACATAGAGTGTGTCCAGGATCCCTGGATGACTGTCAGGAGCATCTTTACCTACTGTATGTCTGTTGCTTGTAGTTAGTTCAAGTTTAACCTCAGGATTTCTTGTAATGGATCTCTGGGGTCAGAGCAGGGTCTTCTACAGCTCCCCAGATGATATCCCTCCCACTTTTTCTTTGAGTGCCTTCACTGAGCTGTTTTCTGGTTTTCACACACTAGATGACAGACATTGGGTGTTTTGTTTCTCTAAGTTAATCTTACAGGGATCACAATAAAATGCCTGTCACTTTAAATTTATTGGGAGATACACTTGCCCCCTCCTTGTTCATTTACTTCATCCTATCTGGCCATTCAGAGAAAAAGGCAAAGAGTAAATGAAATTTCGGTCTTCTACATCTGATGGGAATTCAGATGAGCCCATGTTAGGAGCTGTGTAGCAAAGTCCCAGAAGACTTGACCGTACCTCTAATGGAGCCTAACCTGCTCCTAAGATGTAGACCCTAAAATGTTGGCTGGAATGTTATGAACAATGCAGCTTAAGTTGCTATTTAGGCACACCAGGCATAGGGCTCCCTATGTTAGCCTGTTTTTGTTTTTATTTATTTTTTTTTCTATATCTTTTTGAGACAGAAAGATAGAAGGTAAAATGAGAAAAGGAGTGTGGGTTCCAGATGCAGAAACAGGGTGCTAAGTCACACAGTCTCCCTGGGATAAACTGTGCCATGATAAAATGCCACATTGGCCTTAGAGCCTGTTGGCTATTTCTGAAGCAGGCTACCCGTTGTTTAAGAGTTAATCTTAAAGACCAGGCCTGTCAAGGATGTCTTACTGGTTGGTGCTCTTGCCAAAGGTAGCATCAGCCAGTGAGCTCAGCCCTGGCCCTCTGTCCGGTGAGTCTCTCTCTCAGCTACCCATGCCTGGGCTTTTTAGACTTGGAGTTCAGACACAGTAAATCTTTCTCTTAATAAAGCCATTTTTCAAATCTGACTTTGGACTAGGGACTGCTTTTTCTCCAAATGCAACAGCTGTTAAACATGGCGCCTTGGGCACGCTGTAGATTTCTTTGTTTGGTTTTGGGTTTTGAATATGAGCAGAAACATGAAGGAGTGGGAGGACTCTATCAATTTTTTTTTCTCCTACCCATGAGGCAGCTAGTGGGTTTGGAAACCAGGCTTCCATCCTGTCAGGCTTCTGGGCTCCCTTAAGGATGAAGCCTATTGTCCCTTAATAGCCAGAGAAGGGTGCCCCTCATTCTGGTGGGATAGAATGGTGGAGCCTGAGGTGCCAGTCAGCAGAGGTCCAGACCTAACCTTTGGCCCTGGTCTGTCCTGGCCAAATGGGGAAGGTATTTCTATACCCTTGCTCTTTCGGCCTTCTGTCAATAGCTCTGTTCCCAATGCACAGGGAGCATGCTCCCTGCAGGGGAAAAAAAGTTCACAAAAGAAATGAATTATGCATATGGATTTCATTTCCTTGATGAATAGGGAATCTGAAGGCTTAGGAAAGAAGGGGGGGGTTAGGAATAGGGGAGTTGAGGTGGGGAATCAAAAAGACTTTGGTGCAAAAGAGGATTGGAGGAAGTTGGGATGGAATATTTAGGACTAAGTTTAATATAGTTAATGGCTAGTTATTCCTGCCTTCATACAGGAATACATGCTCTACTCCTGGTTAACATGCAGATTCGCCCCCTGCGAGACTGGACGAGGTGCTGCAGTGATCTGACCCACCTGAGTTCAAGTGTTGGGGTAATCTCTGCCTTTCCTTCAGAGGGGAAGAATGTTACATTTGGAAGTAGAATTCCTGGCTTTGGGCTCCCTGACACACAGGCCGGACCTTGGGCCAGCTGCTTTGTCTTTCTCAGCCTTGATGATCCAACTGTAAATGGGGACTATGACAGCTGCCCTGTGGAAATGTCACAGGGACCAAATAAAAATGCTTTGATGAGTAACTCAAAACGCTCTGGAGGTGTTTTAGCTTTTTTTTTTTTTTTTTTTTTTTTCCTTTTCTGTGTGCTTCTTTTTTTGATAGCCCTTTATTTTTATGTGTTCATGATTTTTAAAGGGAACTTATTTTTTATTCACTTCTAGAAATCGTTTTTATGTGTATGGGTGTTTTTTAACCTATGTATGTATGTGCACCATGCCCATGCCTGGTACCCATGAAGGCTGCAAGAGTGCATTGGATCCCCTGGAGCTGAAGTTACAGCAGTTAAAAGCACCTCTTCCAGAGGACCTGAATGTAGATTCCCAGATCCACATTGTATGACACACAGAACCCTGTGACTCCAGCTCCAGGAGGGATTCAAAGCCTTTGGCTTCTGTGGGCACTCACATGTTTTACATATATCTACAAACAGACCCATACAGTTCATTAAAAAAAGAAAAGAAAAGGTATTAGTCAGAGGCTTTTGGCAAATTTAACTACTTGGCCTGTAGTTAGTACATACCTAGTCTGGTTAGCAGAAGGGAAGGCTGACATTTTCAACCACTTTAAGGGTTTGACGGGAAACTACTTTTTAAGATTCCCCATGTAGGCTCACTTTCGCTGCTTCCAGTTGCTGAGAAACTGTGACAGGAAATGTGGTCGGCATGGCCTCTTGCTCCTCACTCCTCTCCACCATTCCTTGCTTTCTTAGGGAGAGGGTGTGGAAACCCCGTGTTTGGGAGAAATGAGAAATAGCCACATGTGCGTGTGTGCATTGATTGGGAGTGGCTCCCTGCTTCTAAGAAGAGAGGGAGATCTGTCCATTTTGACACAAGGCTTTCCTCTGCAGCCCAAGGTGGCCTCAAACTCAAAGGGATCCTCCTGTCTTAGCCTCCACACAGCCTGGGTTATAACAGCTACATGCCCAGCTCGGCTTGAGAGATAAGTTTTGATAATATTCGGAGACCTGAATCGTACCTGAGGGTTGAGTTGCTTCAGCATGCCCAACTGTTGCCATGTTTCTTATTTTTCTCAATAGGCAATTTCACAACCTGCTCTTGTCTTTAGAGGTGTCTTCTTTGACACCTCACCTTCCTGGAGGTGAGTGTGTGCAGCACAATTCCCTTACTTCTCTAGGGCTGCCTTCCCTTCCACAAAGGTCAGAACTACCATGTATTTTGCAGAACCTTTTTTTTTTTTTTTTTTTTTTTAAATAATTTCCCATTGGACCGTGGGATAGGTGTGGAGGTATCCAGTCTTACCTTCCTGCCAGTGAGATGGCTCGGCCTGGAAGGCCTGACTTCAATCTTTATTCTGGTGTTTCATGGATTTTATTTGTTTGGCTTTAGGGTTAAGAGTCTGCTTTTAAGAAAGGTTTGAAACCCAGTGGTGCAGAGAATAAGCCAGTACCCAGGATGAATTATCTCTTTGTTTATTAAGATTTTCATGGTGCCTTTTCTCTCAAAGCTCAGGGCGCTGTATGGAAAACTTCGGATAGCACTGAACACTAGAGGAGTGAAGGGCTGAGGGAACACTGGCAGGTTAAGGATAGAGGGAGAACAGAGGTGGAGGAGGCCTTCAGATCATAGCTGACACTGAAGCCAGAGAAGGCTGAAGACCTATGGCTGGGTCAGGACTCCAGCCCTGGCAATAAGCTGAGCCTCCCCCATGCAGTGGAGATAAGGAGGAGACCTACGAAGCCCCGCCCAGTTAGGATATTCTAGGGATGCTTTGGAGCCTTTCTTTGTAGGTGAGTCCTAGCCCTCCCGCCAAATTGTTGAGGCAGTAAAAATGGCAATAAAAAAAAAAAGTTTTTTGTCTTTTTTTTTATTATAAATGTTATACATAAACCTTTCAATAACAAGTATATTTGCTATAGAGTGCCTTTCAACCCTGGCTGCACATTAAAATCACCTGGGGAACTTTTACAAAATACCACCAACACTTGGATTTTACCTTGGAACAATGAAATCAGAACCTCTAGGGGCTGGTACTGAACGTTAAGTATTTTCTCAGAGCAGACCAGCTTATTGTGCTATGCACCAGAGTGGGTGAAATACTGCTCAGGGGACTCGGGGAGGGAGAGGAGAGGAGGCCTGTTTGAGGATGTCTGCAGAAAGATCATGACGAGGGGTGGGATAAAGGGTGAGAATAGAACCCGTGCTTTGTGGCCACTACGCCATGGTTTATTTGTGTGCTACATGGAATCCATTTGGCTCATATTGCTTATTTTTCACAGATTGCAAGGCTGAGAAACGTCAGAAATGTTGCGGCCTGCTCAGACTTCCGCTGGAGGTGTGGTTCTCAACCAGGGGTCTATAGAGTAGCAGATATCCTGCCTCTCATATTTGCAGTGACAGTAGCGGAATTACAATTGTGAAGCAGCAGCAAAATGATGTCGTGGTTGGGGGTCGCCACAATGCCAAGAACTGTATTAAAGGGTGGCAGCTTTAGGAAGGTTGAGAACCACACTGCTTTAGAGTGTTGACACCGTGGCCGACTTGTCCTAGGAATGGCACTCCTAGGATACTTCTCATGTCACAGAGCAGGGGTTTGTGTTTCTTCTTCACTTTAAAGAGGGGGCACCCGAGGCCTAGGGGAACAGAGACAGAACATTTTGAGCAAAGTCTGCAAACTTATCAATAGTGGAGAAGGGCTGGAGACTGTTATCTCTCTCTAAATCTCCTTTCCTTGGCTTCCTCTCTGCTTCTCAGAAAGACAAGGGTCTTGTTTGTTAGTCAGCACTCTCTCTGATGGGAAAGGCTTTTTTTTTTTTCTTACAAATGCCCCAGAAAAGATGAGGAAAGAAAGCTAGCTCTGCAGTGATTACCTCAGAGAAAGAGAGAGCCTCAGGGCAAGCTTGTAATTAGACCCGAGCCAAAAGAAATAAAATCCTGTGAAGAGCTTGGGAAACATGATTTTTGTGACAGTAATTCCAAATGCTTTTGGAGTCATTGATATGCTTTGTGTGACAGGCAGTAGAGTGCTCATGTTCCTGATAGTCTCCTTGACTCATCTTCTGGCGGTACTGGAATGTTCTAGAATGTGCTACAATGCAGTATCTATCATGGACTTTCAGGTCTCATCCAGCCCTGTCATGTAGCTGCGTTCTATATCACTCTATCTTCTGTCTTCCTGAATGGAACTCCTGTGTGTGTGTTTTTCTCTCTCAGAAAAGTGTAATGGAATCATATTTTCAGTTAGTGTTTTAAATGTAGACTACTTTTATAGGTGGATGGCTTTCCTTCTGGAATGGCAGTGTTTAGGATGGAGTACCAATTTGTTTGTGTACATGCCGACTAGAGAAGGAAGTGGACATTGGGAAAAACTTGGCCTTAAACTTGGGACTTCTTTGATCAAGTCAACATAGTCCCTTGGTTGATAGTGACTGTCTCCCAGTCTATCAAATCACCCCAATATGTGTGTGTAGGAAGGGGGGAGTGGGGGAGTGCAGGAGTTGGCAGCTTTTTTGTATCAGCTGTTTGTATTTGTGGTGTGGAGTTGTTGAACTTGACCATTGCTTGGCTCCCGGATGAAATGTTCCCACTCTGCTTCTTTCTTCTTTGCTCATCCGAGCATCCCTGTGGCAGGCCCAGTATCCAGCTTTCAGTTTGGTTTCTTTTGCCCTTGCCCGCAGTGGCAGAGCAGAGTCAGCCATCTGCAACTCAGAATGGCCGCACTGGGTCTGTTCTGTGTTTGAGTTGTGACCTCTAATCATAAGCCATATTTTTCCCCCTTATGGATTCCCTGCCAGTCACACTTGTTCAAGACCTAGGAGCGCTTCCCCTTTCCTCCTAATGAGCACATTGCTAGCTTTGCTGGAAAAGTGTGTAGGCAAAGAAAACTCTGATATTTGGTTTTAAATTCAGTACTGGTTTTGCTCACCAAGGTCCTTCCGGGAAGAAGGATCAAGAAAGTTTCAGGATGCTGGGGAAGGGCCTGGAAAAAGGTCTAGCCTCCGGTATGGATCTGCATATCAGTTTAAGGAGATGTAGCACTACAGGGTTTCACCCTGATACCAAGAGCGTGCTTGGAGATGGGGATGTGTGAGAGCAATCATCCTCTTAGGTAAGTGGGAGAGAGGGCAGCTTTATCTTGGTTTCTGAGGATAGACGGTTTCTATTGGAAGGGAAGGAGGCCATGATTTAATTTGGAGATGTCAGTTTATTCTGTCTGCCTCATGTGTGAGAAGAAGCCACTGCAATCGTTACAGCCTCTATGCCAGATAGCCTTCGGAACAAACCGGCTTTGTCTCTTGACACCTGGTTACTGGGTACAGGACCTTGTACACACTGAGGGCCTTGCTCAGCAAGGATGCCATTCCTCCTGCCCTGGGGTCTAAGTCCATGGTGCTTGAATTTTCTTCCCCAGTTCCTTCGCCTTCTATCCTTTCCTCAAATACAAACACACACACACCCACCACACACACACCCACCACACACACCACACACACACACACACACACACACACACACACCATGAGAGAGAAATGTTTTTTTCCTCTCCATTGTCCATGTTTTTTGTTTTGCTTCCGCCCTTCTTTTCCTCCTTCCAGGATTCCCTTTAGTAACAAAACAAGGAGCAATGGAGTTAGGGTGGCTGAATGAAGGTGGGGGGTAGAGGAGAGGGAATCAGTCAGGAGAGCACCGTGGAGTGGGAAGGAGAAAAGTAGCCTCTAAGTATCACCAGGCCTAGGCATGTCAGCGCCCCCAAACACCTCCTTGTACCTTGCCACCACCGTGGAGGAGGCTGATGAATTTGGTTTCCGCCAACATTAAGCTGATAAATGAAATTTGTATGTTAAAGCAATGATAATTTAATTGTATTTTCTTTCCTTCCTCCCCATCCGCACTTGTGCCTCTCTACTGTGCTCTGACCCACCCCCCTCACTTCTCAGCTTTAGGGAAAGGAGGGGCTTGAAGGCTGTGGGGAGGGGGAGGTTTTGCAAGCTGTCGGTTTGCATTGTGCGGACGGGGAAAGGTCTCTACCTGGCTCATTTTGTCCCCTTTGCTTAGGCTGTCACTGCTGACAGTCCTCATGTTTATTTCATCTCGCGTGGTGGCTGTCTCGTTTCCCTACCCTCCGATGTCATTAACGCACAGAGAGCGGGCCCTGCAGTGTTGAGCCTAATGAATTCCGCTGTGGCTGCTCTGCTCCCCACCTTGTTACCAAAGCTCAAGGTGTCAAATTAAACCAGCCCAGAGAGAAAGAGAGAGAGTGTGGGAGAGAACTCCAGAGCAGGGGAAGAGGGAGGCGCTGAGAACACAAAAACAACCTTCCCAACAGTTGACTGTAGGGAGAGAAGCAGAGAGAGAAGTGGGATAGAGGTCGTGAGGGGGCACCCCAGAAATGGGTGACTTCTTGCAACCAAATCCAGTTTCAGCACGTTGACACTCAGGACTCTCAGCAGGACCAGATGACCTGGTCATCATGGGTGTTTTTTTTTTCCTTTGGCTGGGTGAATTTGCCTTTTTCTCCTAGCTGGGCTGATTTATTTTTGTGGTTTATGTAGATTGGGTGCCTTTTGAAGCTGAATGAGGAGCTGAAGGGAGAGCAGTCATCACTTATAGGACTGCAGTGTGTGTGTGTGTGTGGGGGGGGTGGTCATGCTCATGCCTTTGACAAAAAGTAGAGGCCACGTAAGAGCTCCGTGTCCAGTGGCTTTGATCAGCTACAAGGATGGGTAAATCGTGGCAGGCAGTTGAACAGCTCTGGTGGAGTGCGCTACCAAAGCACCTTGAACTGGGACATAGTGGTTTACTTCTTTCATAAGGAGCCTTATGCCACCGACAGAACCTTTTTCGTTCATCTGTTACTGGCATTTAGCCCATTAGTAGAGTGTTTCCATTTTACAGATGGGGAAAATGATGACGATGAGGAAGACAGAGCCAGAAGGGGGAGAAACAGGGCTCCATGTCAGATCTGTTGTTTCCATAATTGGATGACTCTTATGGTTAAACTTCAGATCTTAAGAGGTGGGATGATGATGATAATGGCAAACAAGCTTGTGGCTTTAAAGAAATGCAAGGGCACAGTGAAGGACATGGTTGGATTTCTTTCTCAAATGATACACAAAGCCATCACTACGTTTTGTAGTTATGTTAATTGTACCCCTTTAAGCTTTTTGTGAATGGAATTGTACATGTATTAGTTACTTCTTTTGTCTCTGTGACCAAATGCTTTGCAAGAGGGAACATGAGGGAGAAGAGCTTTACCTTGTCTTCTGGTTGAAGCAGAGGCCCTCATAGTGGGGAAGCCATGACAGCAGGAACTGGGGTGCCTGCATGATGGCTAGGACCCTCACGATACACCCCCTTCAGTAACCCACTTCCTCCAACTCGGGTCCATTCCCCACAGGTTCTACAATGTCCCATTAGTCACCAGCCGGGGACATTCTACATTCAGACCATATTGTGAAGTGCATAAACTTTGGTTTCTAGATTTCCTGAGATTTATCCATAGTAGTATATCAGTACCTTTGTTCTTTCTTTTCTTTTCTTTCCTTTTCTTTTCTTTTCTTTTCTTTTCTTTTCTTTTCTTTTCTTTTCTTTTCTTTTCTTTTCTCTTCTCTTCTCTTCTCTTCTCTTCTCTTCTCTTCTCTTCTCTTCTCTTCTCTCTTCTCTTCTCTTCTCTTCTCTTCTCTTCTCTTCTCTTCTCTTCTCTTCTCTTCTCTTCTCTT